ATATATATATATATATATATATATATATATATATATATATCGATCATAATTTATAGGCTTCAATTAACGCGCCATTATTGCAGTATCAGAACGATCATTACAACGCTGAAGCTCACAAAGGTTAAAGCCAACAGTCCATTTCATTGTGTTGTCAATTGTTGCACAACACTAAGCGTGGGCATTTAACAAATATTTTTGAAATTATAAAATCTAGAACGTATGTATCTGTAAATCATTTTTCTTGCAAGACGCATTGGAATCATATCAAAGGTAAAGACACAGAATAAAAATCCATACAGAAAGCCAGGCCAACATTGCCAACAGTTTATTTGTGTTAGTGTCACTCAGCACGTTGGAGCGTGGGCACAAAGCTAAGTTATATATAAACTCCTGAAGAAAGTGTGCATTCATTATAATCAGTTTTCTTGCAAGACGCATTGGAGACATCTAAGGATAAAACAGATTTCATCGTCTTTAGAAACCCGCGGAGTTGCGTTATTGAAGAAAACTCGGCTTTCGAAAAGCTATAACACTATCGTGTTGTGAATTAGCACTTGTTTTTTTTTCTCTTTTCACTTTGTATACGGTAAGTGTCAATTCAGATTTTTAGTTTTTTTTAGTATTTCGATTTGATTTCGCCAAATTAAAGTTCATTAATAAAATGTATTATATTGATATTATCATTGAATTTACCCCTTAACGAGTAAAATCGTCTGGCATTCCACAGACTATACCGATAGGATGAAAACCGTGCAATGCAACTTAATCGGTTAACCAGACACCTGCCATGGGCAGATATTACTTTGATGAACCCATTGAGCTAGCTGGCGCGCTCTCCTCTTGCATGAGGAGTATACAATCGTCTGGCATTAAACAAAGACATGCCGTACGTAAAATAATATACAAATAATGAATGTTTATGAGTGCAATGATAAGAATATTTTCATGAGGTGAAAGATGGAATGTTCCATTCAACGAGGCGACAGCCGAGTTGAATGGAACATTCCATCTTTCACCGAATGAAAATATTCTTACCATTGCACGAACAAAAACATTCATTATTTGTTTTATATAATACCAGAATAGACTAATATTAAAAGGTTTACTGTAAGGTTTCGCCATTTTGACGAGTCGTATTTGCATTAAATCCCATTTACTGAGTTTCGAATATCGGGTTAAAATAAACTGCGATCACCGTACGAGAAGCATTTTGACGGATGCGATTTATCGAAAACACAAAGAGTGCAATGGAACAAAACGTATAGTACAATTGCACTCGCAAGAGTGCAATGGAACGCATTCCATTGCACTCTTGGGAAATGGAATTTTCTATTCAATATCACGTGACCATAAACAGCCAATTAAACGATCAGAATTCAATAAGGTATTATATAATAAAGTATATAGGGCCCTTTGCAACTTAATCAAATAATTTATTGCATGCAGATCGAATTAGAGACTATCGGATCTACATTATCAGTTCTCCTGCCAATTTAAATCTCGGCATGCAGGGTTCAGGGACTGGATTTGGAAAAGTTTTGAATTAAGACTTAACTTAAGGCTGCTTTCCAGTTAAGCCGTTCTTCATCCGTGCGTATATAGTTATTTCAATTAAGGTTGTCCATGCACGAGCAAATCGGAAAAGTCGAATACGAGCGCGAAAGGCTGCTGGGAATCGCTAATAAATTCCTGGGAATCGCTATAATAAATTCATTCATTTATTAGCGATTCCCAGCATGCATGCAGCCTTTCGCGCTCGTATTCGACTTTTCCGCTTTGCTCGGGGGACAACCTTAATTGAAATAGCTGTACACGCACGGAAAAGTTTAAATCCATGCAATTAGAGTTTCTTGTGAAATAAGTAATTGAATAAAACCATAGCATCTAGACGGTATAGGTCTATATATACCAGTCACCTTTGAACGCGATGTTAGTTAATGTTATCATACTATAACAAAGTCTTTCTTCTCTGTCAATAACAGTGACAGAGTTACCGTTCAAACTTACCTCAGTTTTTCCCAAGTGTCAGCACTTCTGAACTGTCGACTTCATCTGCTGCCCTGTGACGCCTCCAAGAGAATTAACCCAACAATAGTGTGATTTCATCATTTTCATTTTTTCCCATTTTCTTTATAGAAACAAATTAGAATATTCAAATACATAACATGAACGGTGAATCTTACCCGATGCAAGACAAATCTCGGCAAGTACAGGGCGGCCATATGCCTTCAGCACCACCGAATTACGTGGCGAATGTACACCAACCAACGGGAGGAATTATACAAGCGCACGTGATACCGTACAACAACGTGCATGTCCAGCAGCCGAGTGGCCACACAGTTATTGTTGTAGTAAGTACAATAGACAATTCCCATTATAGACTAATTTTAAAACTAGGCAAGGAGATGCAAATAAATCCGGCACCACAGCTAGAAAGAGCATACTAAAATGAGTAAATTTAGTACCATTTTCGAATAAAGTACCATTTTCGGCCCAATTGTGGTAGCAATTTCCGCATGCACGCTATATAATACAAAAGTATAAAAAATTTGAAAACTTTGCAAGGCTATATTATCCACATTTTTCAACATTTCGCAGTCAAACATTGCAATTTTACTCATTTTATTACGCTCTTTCTAGCTGTGGTGGTTTATTTGCAGAATATTGCAGTTATAGTTTTTTCAATTAAAAGGGCTGAAATGCGCCTTAAAAACCATCAATCAAAAGCTTTTTGCGTTTCTCCAAATTGGTGAATACTAACCGTAACCATGCACGAAATGTTTTTTTCACAAAATAATTTAAATTTATGTTGCTTTGCAGCCCTCACAAGCAATAGCTGGAAATGATATCAGCGACTATATGGTTCTATCAATTTTTTCCTGTTTCTGTTGCTTTTGGCCTGTTGGAATCTTCGCAATTATGATGTCATGCATGGTAAGGTTAATTGCGACACTATATATGACGTCACATTGTATAATGACTTTCTGAAAAAAACTTGGATATCGCGCATCGAAAAGATAAAACAGTGCATATACATGTATGTGCTATGTCAACATATACTGCAGCAAATATATGCCAAATGTCGACAAATTTGAATCAATTATATATATATATATATATATATATATATATATATATATATATATATATATATATATATATATATATATATATATATATATATATATATTTTTATATATATATATTTATATATATACATATATATATTTGGTGTCCCAAACAAAAGTACTCCGGTTTGATTTATAATAACTTCTAAACAAGTAAAGCTATCAAACAGAAATGACTTGCATTAAATAGAGGAAGGACTAACTTAGATTTTGATATATTACAAGTTGTATTTTACTTAAAAATTCACGGAGATAGTAATGTTCAAAATCGGGAGCATATTTTGGGATGTGTCTAAATTAGCGAAAATCGGCATGTCAAATATTAACTCCAGCGTTTGTTTGCTTAATGACATATCAGGCTAACTTGTATTTCAGCGAATTGTCGTTAGGGTTTGTAAGGGATATGGTGTAGATTTAGACATCTTACATGTAAGTCTTAGCTCATTGTTTCCTGAAATATGAACGTTCGAAATTATGCAAGTATTTAATAGGTCTTTACAAACTTAAAGGTACATGAAAGACCATGCAAGGCAGGCGCTTAAATTTTTCTTAAATAGCCTAATTTTTTTATGTTTTTCATGGGTTCAAAACAGAGTTGATTATTTCTCGGTTAGAGCAGGATGAATATTATTCTTTAATGAAGGAAATAATATTGCTTTTTGCAAATACACATCACAGTATCAACGCTACTATTTTGTTACGTTTTGTTCCAAAAATGTTGGATGTCTCTGGGGAGTTGCTTGTTATGTCTTATGGAGTTGTATGGTTTGATTGTGTTTCATTCTCAGTTTATTCTGAACTTGCCAAGATTAAGGAATGGCAAAAGAGTTTGGGTGTTCTTAACAAAATTTCAGAACGTTGCAGAAGTTAAAAGACCTTCACAATTCCATTGTGACAGCATGCCCTAATTCAGAACTACGAACGATCCATGGCGATCCTTCGCTATACAGTGGTCTCATGAAATAAGGAAACGTTTTCGTGCTAGGAACACACGCGGGTTGCGGACGAATAAATCTTGTTTGTATTTTATAGATAATAATACTTTGTTTCATAATAAACAATTTGTCAAGTGTCACTTATATTTACTGGTAATAGTGCATGTTTCAGTCGGGAAAATCTTGATTAGTATTTGATACGCCGTTTTTTGCATATTTCAGACACATCCAGAAATATGCTCCCGATTTTAAACATTAATATCTCCGTGAATTTTTATGTGAAATACAACTGTAACATATCAAAATCTAAGTTAGCCCTTCCTCTATTTGATGCAAGTTATTTCTCTTTAAAATCTTTACTTGTTTAGAAATTATTACGAATCAAACCGGAGTACTTTTTTTTGGGACACCCGGTATATATTGTCAATTTTCATAATTTTTTCGTCCTTTATTTGGTTTCCTGATATTTATATAGCCCTGTGGTTATTTCAGGGAGCCAGCTCTCTTTCAAATCTTCTCAAAAATTACAAAACAATTAGATCACAAATATATTTTACTAATAATAATAATGTTAACTATAATTTAAATAATTTCTTTGTGTAGTAAATTGCAATTTGAAAGGAGCAAATAAATCTTGTATCTTGTATCAAGTTGTTTAAGTCTTTCCTCAAAACACCAAAAAATAAATTTCGATAATTTCAGGATGGTGTCACTAGCAGTTGACTTCATTATGTCAACTGATAAAGTTGGTTCGGTTCGTTTACGTTTGTCTCAGTAGTAGTGAGATCGGTTTTTAGACTGTCGTTTATAAAGTTTACTCGAATGTCACCGTAAGCCTCCCAAGTGAGGAGGAAGTGAGATTCATTTTCGACTTCTCCCGAGTGACAGAGGTTTGAGTCGTTCTTCTCGGGCTATATTATGGTATCTACCAGTTTCAATCTGAAGGCTATGGTTACTTAATCTGAATCGTGTTAAGGTTTTCCTTTTGTTTGAGTCCTTTATTATAGATAAGCACTTTTCTAGTTCGTAATCTATCTTGATGGTTCTGAATAAAAGGTTAGTTCGAGGAATTTTCAAGTTTGCGTTTCCAAAATGTGAGTAATTTTCTTTAAGACGTTTGGTAATAGGTTGACTAATAATTTCATTTGTGATTGATTCCAAATCAATGATTTCTGTGTTGAGGTTAAATGCTTTCAAAATATCCATTGCTTTTCCATAATAAGAAGTGTTCTGTTTAGTAAACAAATCTTTTGACTGGATTAGGAAAGCTTGTTTGGCAATGGTTGTTTCCGATAAAGAGTTCAAATGAGTGATGTACTTGAAAAGTCTTTTGAAGATATTAATAAATAATAATTAGAGGGAATTTTCCAAGTTCACCTCTTGCATGAGGCGATATTGCTAGCTTTTTTGCCTACACCTAGATATAGTTTGCAGAATCTAAGGTGGACTTTTTCAATATAGGTAACTTGTCCCAATTGTTGAAATCAATTTTTACATATGCACCCCGTACTTCAGAGTTGCAGAGAAGGATGAGGCTTATAATTCGATCGAAAATTTTAATAGCAGATTTCGGGTTAAGTTGGTGTATATTGAGCCGTCTTCATTACGTATAGAGGGTCCTGAAGGGGGGGGGGGGTCCCAATCCCATTTCCCACCTGAAATTTTGGCAAAATCCCAGTCCCAGTTGGATTTTTATTAAAAATCCCAGTCCGAATTTTTGAAATCCCAGTCAATAAAAAAAAGTTATTTATCGGTAGAATAAACAGTTTTAGAATAAACCTTTTAAGCCACCGTGTGTGCGCACCGTGTGGCAGAAGCGGTTGTGCTTTGCCTTTGAGGTATATACTAAGGGTTAAATGAAGTATATGCCGGAACCAGGCATATATTCCGCTGTGCATCTGACTTGGGGACACGCATAATCAGAAAACCCAGAATTCCGGGCGCCAGAGTATGCCTGTTCGCCGGTAGTGCTGTGAATAATATAGTTAACAACAAAAATCATGACCAAAGACACCAAAAACGTGTTGGGTTTGTGGCGGTTGCCATTCTTTATTATATTCAATTTGATTTCACATAAGTTTCTTAATTCTTATAGCTTTATTTTAGTTGACGAACAGAATACAACTAAAACTTTTACAATGAATATACACTATTTACATAAGTAACGCTTTACTGTGATTGGTCAGATAATCACCAAATATGGTAATGAGTCTTGCTCTTTATCTATATGTAACTTAATATATCAACTAATAACATTACAACTAGGTTAACACTTGGTTAACTAACTTCTGAGGCGTCGTGGTTCGAAACATCAGGGCCTTTTTCAACTATATAACTGGGGGAGAGAGGGGGCAAAGCGCCAAAGCCTCGCAGCCCCCATGGTGCCCACCCCAGACGACCATTTTCCAAGTAGATAGAATATCCCAGACCCTATAGATTTGAGTTGTTGGGGGGCTAGGCTAAACAAGTTAGTGACCGAGATGTGGTATTTACGTAAACATGCCATGTAAGTACTTAACTGAAGATTCAGTCTATCTGTAGTATAATGTGACGCTGAATATCCAAAAATCTGTTTCAGAAAACGCACGAAATGCAGCCGTAGGGGTGGAAAAAGACGAACAATTTTCTCAGTTGTGGGCGAAAATTCCCCCAGACCCCCGCCCCTACTATCACATGCGACACGACACCAAACTTTTTGTCACCAGCGACCATCTGTCATCTCTCCACACTCAGTATAGAACGGTCCCTCTCTGTAAATGAACCCCTCCCCCCACACACTGATTATTAAAATATTAAATTATTAAAAAAGGCCCTGCGAAACATCCTGTTTTGCTCTATCTTTTCCCAGTATAACATTTACTGCTAGTAGATTCCAACATCGTTCCCAGGGATATTTCTGGGTGCATGCGAAGGTGGAAGAGCTGGGAACGAGGTTGAGATGTTGTGAATAAGGAAGTCTAAACTTAATTATTTAGTGAGCTTTACATAATAACGAGCCTGCATTCTATGATAGTCTTGAACAATCTGTACCAGTGTAGGTAGTGGCAATAATAAGAAAGTTTCGGATTGATGCAACTACCTGAAAAATACAAAGAGAACTTTGACGTTTCGAACGAAGGCGCTTCGTCGGGAAGTTGGTGACTTCGAAGGACCTTCGCTTGAAACGTCGACGTTCTCCTTTTCAGGTCGTTGCATCCCTTTCAATCCGCAGCTTTTTCCATTCCAGTATTAGTTCTAACTGTGCATATTACGTAAACATTTAAGCACTAAAACATGCCTATGACACGAAATTTCACCCCCAAATGTTTATGGTTGCATTGTAAAGATCGCTTAAAATGACTTAATAATTTATTTTATTGAATTTTGCTAACTAAAGTCTTGCTCCCTTCTCAAGATATTCAACTTTGTTTCATATGCAAATATCACCGGTGTGAAATCACATCACATAATGAGTTCAGAAAAGTATAGTTTTCTTGACGAATACGTATCTAAAAAACTTAAAAATTGCCCTTGTATATGTATTAATTTCATAACTGGTAATTAACCCTCTGTATTTGTTTGTAGAAAAATTTTATCAAGGTAAAATATTGCGTTTTCAAAATGTCATCATGCGATGTGATGTCACACCGGTAATATGTGCATATGAAACATATCTTGCAAAGGAAGCAAGTTACCAAAATTCTATAAAAGAAATTATTAAGTCATTTTAAGTGATCTTTACAATGCAACCATAAACATTTGGGGTGAAATTTCGTGTCATAGGCACTTTAAGGCAGGCTGTTTAGACAATATATTCTAGTCTTTTAACCTGATGATGGAGTAAAGGTTTTTAATACGTTCCGAAACGTTTTTAATAAAAATATGTTAAGCCTTGTTCTTGATCATTACTACGCATTTCACTGATATGTGCATTCCGCATTTTTTCTCGCTTCCGAACGACGTTCGACGCAGGCCTGATTACAAAATTTGGCGCCTTTTCAAGTTTGAATTTTCCGAAGTTAATATAAGTAGTCAATGTCTTGTCTTGAATGACAGAAGTATTGATGAAAACTTGAAAAGGCGCCAAATTTTGTAACTAGGCCTGTGTCGAACGTTGACCGTCGAACGCCGTTCGGAAGCGAAAAAAAATGCGGAATGCACATATCAGTGAAATGCGTAGTAATAACAAAAAAGTCTATAATTTGTGTATTACAAATTATAACACCAACTATAATAGTTGACATTTTTTAACTCGACGTTACAAATGAATGCAGACAAATTTTTGTTTATAATAGTATTGTTATACCATTTTCAATGTCATTTTTCTTTGTAATTCTGATTGCTGTGTTTTCGAAACTTCACGTAGTTTCAATGAAAAACTGCATGGCCCTTTATAATTTCTGGTGGACTTGAGTGCTTTTTGTACGTCCGGTTCTCCTGGCATTCCCGATTTATCCAGCTTTATAACAAACATAGGTTGTGGTAGGTGGCTGGACGTTTCCTGAGCGAGGTGAGTTCGGGAAACTTCCAGCCACCCGAGGTGCGTCCAATCCCGGACTCACCTCCCTGCAAGTATGTTTGGTTTTTATCCCATACACCGAGCCATACACATATTTGTAGCTCTTCGCAATATATTCGTCGATGTTTTGTCAACATTTTCTCGGCCAAAAAAACCACTGGGCTCTTAATACTTCTTTATGTACGTCTAGATTACCTTTATTGCATTTTTTCTTTGGTTTTTCTTCAGTCTCATTATGTTAGTCGCCGAAAAAAGTTCTTTAAAGTTTAGGTTTATCGGCTAAATCTTGTCCGTTATTGTTATTGCAACGAATAATTTTATGGCTGAATACACTAGGGCACTTATATATGGTAAGGATATTTTGGTCGTGGGAGACTTAAACTGCAATTTGTTAAAAACAACCCAAGAAGCGGAGGCATTGAGAGATATATGCTGTAGTTTAAATCTCGTGCAATTAATCGATAAACCTACGCGGGTAACATTGCAATCATCCAGCCTGATAGATGTGATCATGACATCCAGTGAAAGTCTGATTGTGAAAAGTGGAGTAGTAGAAGTTAACATTAGTGATCATTTCTTGGTTAGTTGTGAACTTAATTTAAAAAAGCCAAAACTAAAACCAACATATATCAATGCACGAAGTTTTAAAGATTACGATCGAAATCAATTTGTCATGGATTTAGCACAAATTCCTTGGCATGAATATTTTTCAATTGACGATGTGAATGAAAAACTCTCCTCATTTAATGGTCACTTTTTGAGTATCTTGGAAAAACATGCACCGGTTAAGAGAATGAAAATAAGATATCGCCGGTGTCCATTTATGAGTAGAGAGATTAAAGAACTTATGAAAAATAGAGATAAATTACATAAGCTTGCACGACGAACCAAGATGACAACAGATTGGGAAAATTACCGTGTTTGTAAACAGGCTGTAAAAAAGGCGTTACGTGAATGTGAAAGGAAGAATGTACAGAATGAAATTCATAAAAACTTAAACAGAAGTTCTATGTGGAAAGTTATAAGGAACTATTTATCCCGTAAAGAATCAACGGAACTTAAGTATTCAAGAAATATCACGGAACTAGTGGAGGAGTTCAATTCTTTTTCACGACAGTGGGAATTAAAGCATCAGAGTCTGCTACTGCACTTTTAACTAAATATAATCTACCAACCATAGACTTACCAGTACCTGCTCAAATTCCTGTGTCAGATCAATTTCATTTCCATCCGGTTTCATGTAGTGATGTACAGAGATCATCATGTCCTTTTCCTCAAATAAGGCACCGGGATTAGATAAAGTCCCAATGAGTATTATCAAAGATGCCTTACCATGTATTCTCCCTGCGTTAACGGATATTATTAATTGTTCATTGCTTACGTCCGAATATCCAACATTATGGAAGATGGCAGAAGTTGTTCCCCTCTTAAAAGATAGGGATCATGAGATCGCAGACAATAATCGTCCTGTGTCTTTGCTAATTGCAGTATCAAAGATTTGTGAACGAGTTGTATTGAATCAATTGACTGACTATACGTCGCAAAGGAAAAGATATACTGAACACCATTAAAGTGGCAATCGAAAATTACATTCTACAGAAACATTAAACGTTTTTATAACAGATCAAATCTTGCAGTCTATGGATCGTAAAGAAGTCGCGGCCTTAGTTTTAATAGACTTATCCAAAGCATTTGATAGTATAGATCATTCAATTCTACTAGTGAAACTTCAAACCATTGGTGTGTTTAAATCAGTGTTGGCATGGTTTAAAAGTTATCTATCGGGACGAAGCCAAATAGTACGTATTGGGTCGACATTGTGGGAAACATGTATTATAACTCGAGGGGTACCTCAAGGATCTATTCTTGGGCCGGCATTATTTAACATATATATTAATGACCTGCCCAATGTTCCAAAAGAGTCCTCTTTGGAATCTTATGTGGATGATTCGAAAATCTATCTGGCATTTCCATTCAGGATATTGAAACTGCGGCCGGGTTTAAACTTACACAAGATATGGAAAGAATTACCGCATGGTGTTGTATAAATAGTCTGCTAGTGAATCCAAAGAAAACGAAACTTCTATTACCGGGTACTGGCACAGATTTCCATATAACTGTTCTTGGTGAGAAAATAATCCCACTTCAGACTGTTAAAGATTTGGAAAATGACTTTGGATTCAAGTTTGACTTACGACAAACATATTGTCGATACCGTCTCAAAATGTATCACAGAATTATGCCAAATCAACAGAGTCAAGCATATTTTCGACAAACACACTTTATCCCTCATTATAAATGCATTGGTCTTCAGTAAAATGTATTATTGCTCCTCTGTTTGGTCGAACACTTCGGAAAAGAACATATCAAAACTCCAAAGCGTGCAAAACTTCGCGGCACGCGTTATTACTGGAATTAGAAAATATGACCATGTGACGCCTATCCTTCAGCAGTTAGCTGCCATTCCAGTTGAGTGTATGTTAAAACTCAGGGATGCGGTTATGACATTTAAGTGCATGAAAGGGTTAGCTCAGCCATACTTGTGTGACAAATTCGAAATGAGATCAAAGACTCACAGTGTTAACACCAGAAATAAGGATAAGTTAGACATTCCACTGTATAATTCGGCTTCTGGACAGCGAACGTTTCATTATCGCGCAGTGTCTATTTGGAATGAGCTCCCAAATCATATTAAAGACATTGACACTTTGGACCGGTTTAAACTAGAATATAAATGTCATTTATTGCATGGATTTTTAGAAAGTAGTTAATAGTTTTAGACAATTTGGGCTTGTTTAAATTAGCATATAAACGTTTTTACTGTATGGATTTTATTAATAGTGACATTACTAATAATTATAAATTTTAATTTGTGTTTGTATGTATGTATGTATGTATGTATGTTTGTGGGTGTATATATATTGTTTGTAGCATATAAATGATTTGTAATTACCTGCTGAAAAGCCCTTTTGGGAGCAGGCAATATTGTAATAATAATAAT